GAAGCCAATAAATGTTGTGCCCAGCAAAAGCTGCGGAAAATTGACAGGGGAAATGTTTATTTTTAACACGGTTCATTTACCAAATTGGGCCTAATTTTTGTGGTCAGGACCTAGAAAATGGGGTCAACTGAAAATAGGGTTGGGTCGCCATGAAAAAAAAAAACTGGGGGAGGTGCCCCAAATTAGCTGGCAATTAATTAGGCAGTCTGACTGACTGACGGTATGTAAATCCATAAAGTTATAAACAGCATTATCTCGTTTCTACTTTGCGTGTGTATTTTGGAATAAGTGTGGGGCGGCGAAGGGCTGAGAATAAACCTTGAAGGTGGCGATGGATGGTGCAATTTACATTGTTAACTAAGCTAAGGTGCAGAGACCGCGGACCAGTCATGCAACTTTGGAATCTCATTCTTGGCAGCTTTATCTCAGCCTCAGCTCTTTTTAGCTAGCTCATTCAATTCAATTTCGCGGCAGTTGAAATTGCAACCGCAGAAGGTTGCTAAGTTGCATAATTCAAAAAATGCTACATAGGGTTAAAAAGACAGAGACAACGTGACGAAGAAGGAAAGTTAAAAAAAAACTTGTTAATTAGGAAAATTGCCAGTTAATGTAACAATTTATATTTTTTATTTAAATGGATTCAGTATATTTGATTAAATTCTAACTAAACATGCCTTTGTCTTATGATTGTAAACAAAATAATTTATTAGCTAACCAGTTACTGATGATTATAAAGATTTTTTTTAAAGCATGCAAACTTTTTCTTTAATAAACAGTATGGCAAAATCGGTATTATATTTATTTATTAGCCAAAACTACGTCCTTTATAAAGTTTTATCTTTATTTAGTATTATACCACATTGTTTCTAAAGTTTTCTTTTTCGAAATCCTTAAGTAATTTAGTTATACAATACAGAGGGTTGTTAAGAGGGTTAAAACCTCGATAGCCAGACACTCGATGCGATGTCCGGACCAAATGTATGTTAATAATGCCTTACGACATTGCCTGCAGGCTCATTTTGAATATCGATCGGAGGATAAGGAGGCGGCATTTGGAGGGGGAGTGCCTCGAGTGGGGCAACCCACCGATTTTTGGTGTTATATGTATGTTATGTGATTTGAAAGCTTCGTCCGCCCGTCCGCCGCATGTTTTTCCCCCTCACGGGTTTTGTGTTTCGGTTTTGTTTCGCCGTGGGTTACAAAAAACATTTCAAGTTGTTCCACACAGGGTTTTTTTCGGTTTGCTGTCCGAACAAGTGGACAAAGTGGTCCGCAAGTGGTTGCACGGCCATTAGAGAGGAGTGGGAATAACTCTGGGCGGGATTGGGATTGGGGGGCTTCTTTGGCTGGTGGACCACTGCAGCTGTGGCCAACTATAAATAACTGAAATGCCAACCGGCATAATCATGGAAATTGTTATTTTTGAACCAAACCAAATACTATAATTATTCACTAAGATATCTAGAGATTTAAAAAATTACAAAAATTCTAAATGAGGATTAACCAAAAAGATAGTTATAATTAGTATGTTAAATTGTTTATTACTTGTGTGATTTATTGACCATTTTACATATTTTAAAAAGTATTAGGCATTAAATATTGAATACAACTTTCCTATTAGGTATATGTTAAAATTAAACAAAGAGTATAGATAAATTGATTAATATTTAAAAACTCAAGTGCATGTTAATGCACCTACCAACAAATTCCAAAGCCATTTATCAACAAAAGGTTGTTCTTCAATTTAGTATCCCCGCCAAATTGACCGTCAAATAAGACTGCAATCTGGGTTCACTGAACCCTGTAAAGATCTCATAAAAGCCAAACCACAAATGGTCGCATTAGGCTTAGCTAATGTCGCTTTTCTTCAGACAATAAAAACCAAATGGCCCCAAGCCATGAACGAATCATAATCATTGATCAACCGAAATCCCATGTCCCCCAAACTCGCACACAATTCGGATGCCTTATATGGCGGTTAGCCAAATGGCAGCCGCAAAAAAAAAAATAGGAAAAAATAGATGAATAAATAAAGGCGACATTTTGCGGCAACTGTTAATATCACTACAGATAGAAAAACATATATAGCCATTGCTGTTGTTGTTGTCTATAATTTTCCATCGAACGAAAATGCCATAGATCCAAGATCATTTGGGTTGAAAACTGGAAGCCAAAAGAAGTCGTGTGCTAAACTTGCGCCAAATCAAGTGACGCAATAGATAAAGTCAGGGGTCTTTACATATTTTTTGTGGGGTTCCGGGGAGGTCTAAACTTGATTTCGCCAGCTGCGCGTGGGCCACCGAAAAAACATACAAAAACAAACGGGAAAAATAACACTCAAGAGCTTGGAGAGATCGGTGATCTCGATTTCGTTCGAAATAGTTGAGTTTTTTGCCTTTCTTGGCATTGCAAAAGTTTTCTATAAATGCAAAAAATTCAAAACAATACCGAAGAGATTAACATAAAATTAAGCTTTACAGATAAATTAAATCTGCTTGATTCATTAACTGAAAATTAAATAAAGTTAAATTTAAAACAATACTTTTGAGATTAACATAAAATTCAGCTTTATAGAAAAATACACTCTGGTCGCTGTTTTAATTAAGAATAATCTGTTGAATAACATTTCTGATGTATGTCTACATTAAATTAATTTAAATTTAAGAGATCTTTGATGTAGATTTCTTCGGAAATAGTTTCAGAAGTAAAATAAATAGCATAAATGTAAAGCAATAAATCTAAGTCATTTAAACTCGGTCGTTTGAAGAAGTTCAGCGCAACAAATGAACATACATACCTATAAGGCAAAAGTGTTTCCATAAACAAAATGCGAAAAGTTGAAACAATAAATTCAAGCCTTGTCGTTTTGGTTTTGGGCATTTAAAGCAATTTGCATCAAATCAAGCTTTGCATACATTCGTAGATGGATGTTTATTTAATTAAGCTGGCTGCACTTCTTAAGATACTTGATCTGCTGCAAAAGTTTTCATAAATGCCAAAAATGTGAAACTATAAATTTAAGGCGCAGAATTGAAATTTTGGTCATTCAAGGCGATTAGCATAATACCAAGATTTGCATGAAAATTAACGCATTTGAATGTTCAATTTGTCAAATGCTATACAACTTTGGCTGTTTCGTTAATTAAGAATAATTTGTTGAATAACTTTTTGTGCATGCATTTGACTAATTAAGTTTATGCAAATCGCGCGAGCGTAGGCGAAAGTTTTATGACGACGGACACATTTTATGAGTTTTTAAGTCGCCGACAAATTGACGATGGATTGTGTGGAAATAAAGATTGAAACATTTAAGCGTTGCAACTAAAAATAAACATCCGCAGAAGTCATAAAACAAAGGCGGGCGCTTCTTCTTCTTCTTTTCTTTTTCTCCCCTAACTCCCACTTTTTGTTTCTTTTGTGGATCCCTCTTGCAGTGCACAGAAAAGAATTTTGATATCAATATTTAAAAATTCCATTATTAGTTTAAAATGAGATATGATATAAAAATTCTACATTAAATAATTAAAAAGCATAGAATTGTAAGGTTTAAATTAAATATATTTTTAGCTATCTATAATTAGAAACCTTTATGCAACAACAAACGTAAAATAATTTAAGAACTCATTTTTAATTAAATCTTGTATCTACTTTTTTACGAATGGTTATTCGTAACATATCTTTTAAAGATTTTAAGACAGGACAGGCATAGTAGGTTTCAAATTCTGATTTTAAACTGTCGCGGGACCTTATCCAATTTTTTTCTGTGTGGGGAAAGACATGAAGCGCAACTGTTTCTGCAAGAAAAAGAGGAGAAGAAAATGAAGCAGGAAAAGGCAACTAAGGAGGAGGAGGAACAGGAGCAAGACAGAGGGAAGTCGTTGAAATTAAATACGGTTTGTAACCAGAAATTCCGCGACTAAAAATAAACAAATAAGAAAAAGAAGCGCGGAGCACGCGACGCACAAAAGAGGGTGAAATTGTACCCACAAAGAACAGAAATTAACAACAATATAATATTGTTGGCCTCGCCAGCGATTTTTTATTGAGGAAATAGTGCAAATAGAATTGTGATTTCTGCATATTTGCATAAATTGCGGCACTGGGAGAATTGCAAAACGAAGAAAAGCGATAAATAAGGCAAAAAACAGCGATAGCAAAAATATCAGAGACCCACACACACAATCACACACACAGAACCTAAGACAACAAAAGAAAAACAAAAGTCATTTTGCTTGTGTCTTGTTTTCGTTTTTTTACCCCATCTCTCCCTCTCCCTTTCTCACTCGATCGCAGTTGCATTTTGCGATCAACGGTTCTTTGGGTTGGGGCATACTTCCTGCTCGCTCGCACCCACACGGCAAAAGGCTCTGCAAAACCAGTTATTAAAAGCCATAAAAAGGAGAACCATTTAACTGTTAAAGGTGTCTCATGTTGGCTTTTTCGCCAGGTGTTTAAAACTCCGCCAGCTGTTGGCAAAATGTATTTTCGTATTTTTGTATTTTAGCATTTCAGCAAATTGCAATTCTGTGGTTTTTTTTTTGTTTTTTGCTACCGTCCTGCTTCTGCGCAGAGGGTGCGAGCAGGATGGCAGGACTCGAACTCACTTACACACCCTTAAAAATGCCGCTACTCCAAATGCAATTTCTTTTTTTTGTTGGATTTGCACTTAAATCTGCATTATTTAAATCGGATCTATGATTAAAGTATTTTAAAACGCCTTTGTTTATATGGAACTCCCACACCCCTTATTTAAATTCATATTTTTCAACTCCGGCGCAGCTTCGTTTAGCTCTCTATATACAGCTTCCCACAGATTTTTTTAATGAATTTCTTTGCGCAAAAGGAGTGGCGTTGTCCAGGATTTTTTCACACATACACAACAAGGACCTCATATACGTATAGTCGGCGTCCTTTTTTTTTGCATTTGCACTGTGTTTTGTACCGTTTTCCGGCAATCTGATTGCAAAACTCTTTTTTTTATCACTTTGCCAGGGATTTACCTTTTAAAAAAGCTTGTTTAGCCTTTTCGGTATACACAAATCCTTTTTTAAATATTCGCGACCCGGGGCTCTGGCCAATTTCATACGATGCGATTTGTTAAATTAAAAAATCACTTGATATCATATAAATTGAATATACGCGGCATTTACACTTATTGTTTATGTCCGATTTTGCAGCGGAAAAACTCGCGACGAAAACGCGTCCGACTCGTTCGGAATTTTTTGTACAAAAAAAAAATAAACAACAGGGGTGGAGTATCATCGATGTTAGCAATCGATGTTTTCAAAAGCAATCGATGTTTTCAAAAGCGATGTTTCATCGATGTTTGGTTCTCAATTTTTTTTTTTGCTCTCTCGCTCTCTCCTTCTGTTAGTTTGACGTTTCGCTAACATTTTTCTGTTAGTTCGACGTTTCGCTAACATTTAGCAAAACACAAAACAAATTGGTTGAACTTCTTAAAACCCCTAGTCCTCCCAAAATTTGTTAACCAATGTTTTGTACGTTTCTTATTACCAATAAATAAGTTAGTGTTGGCGGCAAGAATTACTTGAAAAATCAACCGAAAACAATTTTTTTGGTTTCTGTCAATATTAAAATAATTTTACCGACTGTATTTGCATTTAAATTTGTATGTACACTTTATAAGCGTTTCTTTATTATTAATTAAAAAAATTAAAATAATTTGTGGTATAGATTTTTAAAATAATGCATTTAATAGGCAACAAACAGTTTACGGTGTATCTTATCTAGGACGCAAACCTTCTAACTTTTAAAATTATAATAACGTGCAAAGGCAGCGAACCGACTTTGTTAACTGTTTATAAAATTAATAGTTTTTTCTGATTTTATAGTTGTTATTTAAAAAAAAAGTCACTTGATTAATCTTTTTTTGTTGATAAGTCTTTTACTATTATTCTTAAATCTGCTCTGTCCATTGTTCGACATATTAACACTTTTACCTTTATAACTTCGAGAATAATACTCATTTTTCATTATTCAATTTAAGTTAATGTAGCTTAAATCATTTTGTACATGTCCCTGCAAAAATTTTGTAAGCTTCGTTTTAATTTTTGGTTAGTTGTCAAGTTGTTGTCAGTAGTTGTTAGTTGTTTTAATATTACCATTTTACTGATTTAAAAAAAATTGTTACTAAATTGTATTTTAATTTTGTAAGCTTCGTTTTAATTTTTGGTTAGTTGTCAAGTTGTTGTCAGTAGTTGTTAGTTGTTTTAATATTACCATTTTACTGATTTAAAAAAAGTTATTACTAAATTGTATTTTAAAAACCAACTCAGTCCCAGTCCCTTAAAAATTAAACATAAATAAATGTTTTTGTATTTTTTTTTTAATTTTGAGATTATATATATATAATAATTAGATTTACATTCATTTCTGTATCATTTTACTTGTTTTATTTTAGAAATAAAGTAAGCATTTATTACTAATTTTTTTATTCCTTTTTTTTGTTGTTTTAGACGTGCATTTTAGTGCACTTTTCTTTTCCATTTTGCTTCGATGAACATTATTAAATACGGGGGCGTACAATCATTTTATAACACAAAAACAAACAATATTTTAAATATACTTCTTAATGAGACATTTTTTTCGTGTGGAGGTTGTGGTGTGTGGAAGAAGAGGAGTGTTACGAAATCACGCAAACAACACAAAATAAGGCAGAATTAGGGTTCCATTTGGGTTCTCAGTGTGCGCCAGTTGGGAAAAGGTTATTCTATATGCACTCGATATAGAGATATATTGCAACGTGACCACTTTTGATATTGAAGCTAGTAAAAAAACACAATGAAAATGCACACAGTACAACAAGCGGAGATGGTTCGTTAAATGGTTATCAATTTTAACATGCTACGATTTATAGAATTTTGGTTTAATTTCCCTCTTCTCGATTCGTTCATCATCATCGTTTTTATGTTTTCTCTTCTCATTCTCTTGGCTCTGTATAAAAGTTCAGTAAAAAATGCAGCTTAACTAGGTTCTCGTTTTGTAATTCCCTCCAATCTTGTTATTAAGGTAGCTCTCCTCGCAAACGTCATGGTGCGTTTTTTTTATATATTTCCATTAGATATCCTCAATTGTTGCAAGCTTGCTTCTTGGGGTTTTGTGTTGCTTTCGGCTTTATTTTACATTAATCAATTATTTACTTGTTTATCACTTAGTTTATACAATGGCGTTTTATGTGGGTTTTGTTTTGTTTGCTTCGCTTCGATTTCGATTTCCATTTGTTTTCTTGCATTTTCATAAAATGAGCGCGCAGACAATAAATTATGTATAAATTTCCTTTGCTCTTTCTCCACTAACATGTAATCGTCGGAAACGCACAAATAAATTCTATTTGATAATATCAAGAACAAAAACTAACTGCATATATTTTCTTCTATATATATATAAATATATATATATATATATATTAGACGTTCTTCTGCTTTGTGTAGAAAATTCGATATTTGCTGCGCTGCTGGTTTTTCAACTTAAGTTTTACTTGTAAGCGAAATGTAACACAATTGTGAAACGACATTTGAAATGGATCTGAATCTAAATCGTGTGTGCTGGCTGGGTGTGTTCAGTTATGTAACGTCAATATACATACATCGAAAGGATGGAGGATACGAATTGCTTTAATTGCGCTTGTTTTCTGACCAGATGTGACAAAAAACCTCGACGAGTGAGCTTGAAATGTTCGTCCCTGTCTCTAAATATTAAGTAGATTATTTATATATTTATATATATATATAGGCTCGCGTTGATCGAGTTTTTCTTAGCACATTTACTAATTGAAACGTTGTCGTGGTGAATTTTTCATAAGCACTAGTTCATGATCTCGGGTTGGTTGTTGTTGTTGGTGTGTTGTTGAGTGTGTTCTTTTTGTTGGTGTGTCTGTTTAGGATATCTCACTTAATCGTTATGCACTCTTCACTTAAATCAGCTAATTATCGTTTATGTGTTCGCTTTTTAGATACTTTCTTTTTCGTTTTGCTTGTGTGGTAAAATAAGAAGAAAATGTTTATGGTTTGTTGCCGGTTGAGCAAATCGACCGCTGGAGGTGGCATCGATCGAAGGCTGCCTGCCAAGATCATCGATTGCCAATTACCAATTGGCCATGCCCGGCTTGTTGAGCGTCATAAAATAGATTTGACACGATGAAGCACCTTTGGCACTGCTGAAGAATACTTTGTCATTGCGCTCGCAAAGGAATTTCAAGCGCTGCGCCTTTTTGTGCATGAACACACCATCCAAATGGCCGCTCTCAACGGAACGTATCTAAAAAAAAAAGGGGCACTCAATTAATTAATCAGGCACGTTAAAGTATTTTGTACTTCACTCACCTCTATTGCTTTATTGCCCCAGCCCATGATTTGTCCAGTCCCAATGTAGGCCACCGAGGTGGGCATCTCGCCCCACTACAAAAAAGTGTAATTAAATAATAAATACAAGGAAAAATAATGAGGTAGCGGGATTTCCCCAGGCGATGACTTGCCTGCAGCACAATGTTCTTGGAAACCCGGCCCACAGTGTTCACATAGACGCCCTCGTTGTCGTAGCACAGCAGCAATTGCATGCCATTTGAGTTCGGAAGCGCCACAATACAATGCGGAATGATTGCACCCTGAGTCTGCACACAAGAAGAGAACACTTATTTAGCAATCAATTTTGACACTCTTTTAACACGCCAACTTACATGCTTGGGAAGATAGATATCGTATACTTCAGCTGAATCTAAATCAACCGCATGGAAACCCTCGGCGGAGCCATAGATCACCTTCAGTCTCGACTGATCTTCAATGGTGAGATCGACCAAAAGCGGGCGATGTTCCAATTCACCAAAATTCTATTCAAAGACATTTAAACATTAGAAATCTATCGTAATATAAATAGAAAAGCTGAGGGACCCACCTTAAATGCCATAAATTTGTGATATGGTTTGGGAGCCCATGCATAAATTTCAATAGAGTCCTTTAATGCAATCACTAGGAACTTAATCCTCTCGTATTTGACAATCTTAAAATGTACAGCACCTTGTAGATCACCCACATTAATCCAACCGTTGCGACGCTCCACTTGCTGTGTGTGTTTGTGTGTGAAATTATATTAGAAAAGGTTGAATGGGAGCTTTACAAGTCTAAAACTCACATCGGAGAGTCCATCGGTGCGCAAGATCTTCGACTTGAGCCAGGACAAATAGTAGACACGCACTCGGTTCTTCTTGCCGGATATGGTGACCAATATGTTCTGGCCCTCTAGCACCTCCATTTGCTGGAAGCGGCGTCGCGAGATGAGCTGGTAGACCTGTAGAAAAAAGCATTATAAATTAATTTAATAATAATAAAAGCGTGATTGTTCCAAAAGATGTTTTATATTTTTATAAATGTCTTTGTTATACTGCTATTTACTAAAATTAAATTTTAAACACAAGTTCAAGACCGCGAATTCTTCAGCATAGCAGATATAAGGCTTTATTCTACGATAGAGACCTAATAATTAAAAAAATAAATTTATCCTGGGCAGAATATTCTCTGGTCAATGCATATATAGATTTCAATATATTAAAGCTAATTAATTAAACTAAATTTTCAAAACTTATTCACAAGCATAGATTAAGGTAACTTATTGATTACATTTTCGAAACCATAACTCACCTTTCCCTGACCGGATCGGTCCAGCAGCATTAGTCCATTTTCCGTTCCAATCAGCAGGTTGACGCCCCAGAGCGCCGCACACAGGATCTCCGAGTTGAAGCGCTTCTTATACTTACGGATCTCGGGCGTATCGTTGGCCGCCTCGTGCGAGGTGGGCGTTACGTTGACATTGACGTGCGATTCCCGGCGCGAAGGACCAGAGCCGCCGGCACCGAAGCCAAAGGTCAGGAAACTGCGCTGCTTCTGTTGCAGGGCAAACGCGTGCGGTGGCAGTTGGTTGTTGGAGATCGAGGCCGAGGACGTCGAGGAACATGGCGTCAGGTGGTGCAGGTTCGCAGAGGAGGAAGAAGCAGATTTGTGCAAGAGATTAGTAATACTGCTGGAGGAGCGCGTCTTGCTGATCGAATTCTTGGGCGAATTCTGGCGCGAATTCGACGAAGAGGAGGCGAGCGATATCGTCGATTGTGGCGAGTGATTGCTGCTGCTGATAATCACACCGCCCACAACGGTACCGCCCCCCAGACCGAGACCACCGCCGCCGCTTCCGCTGGTAGCGATAAACGATTTCGATGGCGTGGAATGCACGGATGAGCTAATGGCCGCTTGATACTGGTTAATCGATAATACGTTTCGATTATTTCGATTGTTTGAGTTTTACAATTGATTTCATTGTTTATATTCAATATGTTTAGATTATTTTAGTTTTTTTATTTGATTTCATTGTTTTTTATCGATGCGTTTAAATTATTTTATATTTTTATTTTATTTAGTTTTATTTTGCATTATCGATATTTTTCGATTATTTCGATAGTTTGAGTTTTTACATAGGATTTGATTGGTTTTTGGGTTTTGTCATTTTTTTTGATTATATAGAGAGAAAAGAAAAATAGAAAAAGTGCAAGAAAAAATTTAAATTAGTCTTGAGATGTCAACTAAAAATAAATAAATTATATAATTTATACATGCTGGGCTGGGTTTGTGTTTGAGGTTATGTGCGCAGAGAGAGAGCATTACAAAAGTGTCTTGTGTGTGGTCAGGTGGATTAAGTGTGGATAGTACTTAAACTAACAATAAATGAAAATATAGCCAAAACTATTATAATGTTAAAAGTAATGAGAAAATTGAAAATGTGTTAAGATAAACAAAAACAAATAAAAAATCGATATGTGATTAGTCTTTCCCCAGAGGCCAATGGTAAAAATTAAGGAAATATGTTTAAAAAAATAATTTGTGTGTGTTTGTGTGTCTTGATAAACTTTCGGAAGCTTTTCCTTCCAGTGTATGTTGTATGTGTATGTATGTGAAAAATAGTATCACTGTAGACAAAATGTTAGTGACATGAGATTGCCTGCTATACAACGCAGAAGACAGTGGATGGCAAAAGAATTTCCACAATTGAAATTATAAAATGGTAAAATGGTAAACTGATAACAATGTTTATATATTTTATATACAGAGAAATCTGAAAGAAATTCCTAGACATGGGAAAAAATAGATACAGAAAACGTGTGAAAAATATCTTCTAGATTTCCATTTCCTTTTAAGAACACTAAGCTATACACATACAGAATGGCACATTTTGAAAATGTGATGAAAAATCATAAGGTGGAGATAAAGTAAAACTATACACAAAAGTATTTTCTTGTTTTGGTAGTTTTTGGGATTTGTTGGTTTTTATAAGAGAGCAAATTATACAAAATAAAGAGCATTTTTTTGTTTGTCGGTTTGGGGACTATTCGTTTATACTTACAATTGTAATGTTTTGTTTGTTTGTTTTTGATTGGTAATTTGTAATTTGTTAGAATATATCGTAGTGGCCATCAGCTCAAACGTTGCGGAAAGACAAAGCACAATTAAGAAGAAGAAATTTGTTTAAACGTTTTTGGTTCTATACTTTTTGTTTTTTGTTTTTTTTTTTTTATGGTAAATCACTTTTACTAATTCATGCACTTGGTGAGATTTTCATACGAGCATGCAAATTATTTCGTACTCTCAAATTTTGTTGACCAATTCATTGTTTACACTCTTTATAATGAACTTTGCTCCACGTCAAAAAAATTTTTATGCTAGGGATGATCTTTATCTTACGGATTAGTCACATATATATTTGGGGTTAGGAAATGGGGTGTAAAATCACAAAAAAAAAAAAATATATAAAAAAAAATTGGGTAGTCAGATGTGTTTAAAATAATAATAAAAGCCATTTAATTAAGATAAATTGTTTTACTTCTGCTTTTTATTGGTAATGACATTAACATTATTTGTTCTTGGGCAACATAAATTCTTTACTTTTATGTTAAGCACAACTAAAAAGCTTATAAAATGGAACAAAAATTTTCATTTACATATGATTCTGATTTCTTTTTTTTTTTGATAATAAGCCCAGAAGTCACATATGTAGGTTTTTTACTGTAATGTTAAGTACAACTAAAAGCTCAAGCTATTAAAATACCTAATCATTGCACAAAAGTTTTCTGAATCACTCGTTATTAAATATACCTCAAGGTGGAATTGAAAAATAAATGACTGATAATGACTTTATTTTATGATTCTGTTATCAAATCGGAAGAACTTCAAGTTGGGTTTTTTTGTTAACCATGAAATCCTAACAAAGATAATGCGAATGAATCGACCTGAACAACAGACAGAACGATACAACGAACGAAATATATTATCACAATAAATAAACTCAATGTGGACACAAGAACGGTTACAAAAAACACAATGAACTTTCGATTAAAACGAAAAACACAAGAGGACGAGAAAGTGGAGTATGGTATTTATTGGTCATATTACTCACCTCCTCACTGGATGATTTATCATGGCGTGGTGGCGTTGCCGGCGACGCCTGGCTGAGTAGATCCGGCAGTACACTGCTGGTCCTTGTCCCAGGAGTTCCCAATCCAGTGCCATCGGCACCCACGCCGCCGCTACTTCCTCCGCCGCCGCCTCCTCCGCCGCCGCCGCCGCCACCTCGATTCTGTATAGGGAAATATTCCAAATTTAGTAGCATGTCAAATGAGTTCCGGAGTTCACAAAAACATTGTGAGTAATGAAATTAGAGAGATTGAATATAGGTTATAGAATGTCTTGGGGGGAAAAGTAAGAGGAACAGAAATAACAATGAACGAACATAATACGAGATTCAAGAGCAGCAGCACAAAATAAATGAATGCCAATGAGACACTTTGAGGTGGTTTTGCCTAATGATGACCCCTCCAACTACTAAAGCCTCCAATTTTAGCCGCAAATGTATATAGGATATATAAAGAGATACATTTAATAAATAGATATAGTAGGTGGTGCGGTGTGTATATAGTATGTGTATCCTTGATTACAGAGCTTACAAACTATGACTTTGATTCCTCCTCTGTGTTCGTTCCTCAAAATTGTTTTAAAGCTAAACGAAACACTTAAACTAAGTAAAAGCAACATTTCAGTTTCAGCGCAGCAGGCAAATCGTGGCTCAAGTTGCAACACAAAAAACAAATCTCTCAGGTGGAGGAGGAAGGGCGGTGGTGGCGTATTATTTATGTTTCTTAATTAACTTTTTGCTCTTGCTAACCAAACCAGCAAACTTTTGTAATTGATTTCGAGGAGTTTGTCTTTGTACAGAGAATAAAAATAAAGCTTTAAAACAATTTTGAGCGAAAGCAATAGAGTTTACAGATGATACAGAGAGCAGCATTCTAATTTACAGAGTTACGATGAGGCAGCAAGGCAGAGTAGTTATAACTTAAAGTTAAAAATATATATGATTTCTATTAACAAAATTTAACTTTTATCTGAATTTTTGTGTTTAATACTTTAAAAATTTTATAAAAAACCATTAGGGTCAAATATTTCAAATATCTAAAATATAAATTTTTTATTACTTAACCAATTAAAGTTAATCTTACTATTTTTAAACAACCACTAAGCTGCCTCAAATACCAAAATTAAATCTTTATGATTTATCAACACCGATTTATTTACATTTAAACAGGAAGTTTAGGAAAGCTTCAACCTGCACTACGGGTATTAACTTGATCTCATTAGCATTCGATACTTTTGCCTCTTTTTTTTTGGGTTTTTTTTTAAAGAGTTATATACAGATTAGATTACCGACTGGTTATTTGCATTTGTTAATTAGAGTTCTTAAGCGAATTAGCATGACTTAATTACGGTTGCGGGTTAGCTTAGATCCTAAGATGGCATGTTCCCTGATTGATTTTATAAACATAAACAAAACAAATGACTATGCAATAAATAATTGAAGATAAAAACCAAATAAAACCAAACATGCTCAAGCAATGAAAAGAAGAAATACCACATTAATCTAGTTTTTCCTCATATGTTTTTTTTTTATACATTTCCAGTGGTTTTTTGATTAGCAACAATGGGTGTGTATATTGTTATAATTTTTTATTTACGAGCTATTAGTTTTGAGTGCGTGTGTGTGTGTGGATGTGGTGAATATGCAAGTAGCCATGTTTTTTTTAATGGGTAGTTTGGGTTTGGTTTACGTTTTCTGGCGCCAAGACAAAACACAATTTAATGGGGTAAATATTTTTGCAATATCATTTTTTTTGGTGAGTTATGTTCGCAGCATTTTTTGAAATAAATGTTTTGCCTCTCTGTTGATTTGGTTGTTTTTTTTTTTTTGTGCGAGCTGAGAACGTTTACCTGCTGCTGCTGCTGTTGTTGTTGCTGCTGCTGTTGTTGTTGCTGCTGCTGTTGCTGTTGCAATAGCTGTTGCCGATGGGCGCGAGTTGCAGCATTTTGCAGCACAATGACGGATTCAGTCTTTTCGCGACGCGGTCGCAGGAAATTTAAGGCGGCCAGCGATTTGGATGGCTTCGGAGCAGCTCCCTTGGTGGTGGCAGTGGTGGCTGTGGTGGCAGTGGTGGCTGCAGATGTTGCTGGCTTTACGCCAGCATTACTATGTGCCGCTGCAGTTACTCCTGGTTTTTCCTTGCTGCTGAGGCTGCTGTTGTAAATGCTGTTCCTTTGGAACATGGCACTCGATCTTTGGGGCTGGCTGGAATTCACCACCGATCCTGCTACAGATCCCGCACCAGTACTACTACCACTCAACACCGCCGAATGTCTTTTGGTCAGCGGGAAGAAATCCGAGTTCTCTCGCCGAAAGCCACGCACAAAATTCATTGGCAACTTAGAGTCCGATTCCTGGCGTTTATGTCCCGTGGAATTGGCACTGCCACTGCTGCCACTTCCACTTCCACTTCCACTTCCACTTCCACTTCCACTTCCAGTTCCCAATCCCAATCTCGATTCTTTGGCAATACTTTGGCTGGCATTTGGATTGGATTCGGCCTTCAGTGGTTTATAACCCCTGGGCACTGGTCTCGTGATGGCCTCCGCCACACTGGCCCTTTGCAGTTTCGTCTCCACTTTGAGTGTACTTAGCTGAGAGCTCCTGCTCAAACTGGCAGTGGTGGTGGGACTACCACTTCGTCCACTGGCCCTAGAACCATTTCCATTTTTGGGAAAGAAGCGATCAAAGTCCCAGTCCCTCAGCAAATTGGTTTCATCACCAATGCGACGCGTTGAAGGTGTCACATTGGCCTGCGATGTGGAGGCAGACTTTTGCAGGCGGTTTATATTCTGCTCTAGTTTCTATTTTTTTTAGTGATTTTTCAGCAGGTTTTCAGGGAGGAGTAGTTGTGAGTACGCAGCAAGAGAAGAATGGTGTTAAGTTGGTCTGTTTGTTGGTTTTTTTTTAATACTTAGAGTATAGAGTATGTTTTCTTTTTTTCGATTCCCACCCACCACAGCATGGAAAGTTTTTCATGAATTCTGATCTTCATTCCGGAATGTTACTAAACATACAAAGGAGTTGATATTTATATTTCTGATGCTCCAACAGAAACAATACACTTTTGCATTCGAATACAAATTTTTAATATTTTTTTTTGAGCATGATTTATGCAATAAACCAGAAAATATATTGAAAAACCCAAGTATTTAAAATATATATGGGGTGTGTGTGTGCAAAAGTGCATATATATAGTCATGTATGTACAATATTTCAATCATTCTATGCACCAGTGCATTATTGTTCATATAGATGCAACATCACAACACATGTCTCAACCAAAATATGCAATCAAAAGTTTTGGAAAATAAATTTTGTACAAAGAATAAAGAAAGAAAATTCACGAAAAATATTTCACACTGTTTTCGCCATTAAATTACTATATAAAAAATATATATTTATGTAGATATCAAATCAAGATTAATTCAAATTCAAATAAATTTAGTAGGGAAATCAAATCATTTCATTTTTAAGCTAACTCAATTAATTTAGAGAACCACAACCAGGTTGAACTTAATGTATATATTACTCTATTTTTGGATTTTGTTAAAATCTTTAGTTTTTTTTTTGTTGTTGTTTAGGATTGCAAGACCTTTAACCCTACAAAAGCTAGTTTAAAATTTGTACAATTGTCAGCGGTTTCCTAAAGCTCATTCTGCATTCTAACCCTCAATGGATTGCATCTCATCGGGAAAATCAGTAAAAATCAAAACTACAAACTAAAAACTAAACTAAACAAAGATTCATACTTGTATGTAAGGATATATAGTAGAAGTTGATATTTCTAGGGTGGTGTGATTGCAACTTACGCGCTTCATAATTAGGGTGCGATCTCCGGCCTGATCGTCGTCATCGGGCGTGGGTGGCAGTGGGCGGTTGGGCGGCCCACCGCTGCCATGACTCAAGGGCGTTGTCGTATTGGCGTCCTCCGAAACGGGTCCCAAGCCAGGCCTATATGAAAATTCGGGTCTGAACACATAACGAAAAACCAAGAACCAAAAAAGGCAAAACACAAATCGAAAACGAAAAAAAAGGGGCGGCAAATTGTCGTTCGGCAATGGAAATGAAATGGGAGTGGGTTTATTTTTCAGGTGTAGTGGGTGTAGGCGGGTGGGTAATCAATGGAGTGTTTAAATAAGTGAGAGACAAGAATGTTGTGAAGTCGGGTTAGTATTCAGAGAGAGAGATGATGTGTTTTCTACTAATCAGGGACCGCAAATTTAAATATTTAAAAAATAATTAATAATAATCATCTACAAATAGCTCATCGATTTCAGTTTTAAATAAGATTTAAGGAATTGCCAGTCAAATTTAAGTTTCATATTTAAAGTTTTAAATATGATTACTTTCTCTAAATTATATTAAACTTCGTAATTCGTAAATTATTGCTTGTGTTAAAAAAATATTTTTGGATCACACTTTTAGATATCTAAAATCTCTAGTTTTTTTTTTACTAAGGAAATTTAAAATTACACATTATCACATAAACAGTTTCTATAATATTCAAAGTTTAAATCATTTTAGTCTACTCTTTATTATATTAAAATAAAAAATAATATGTCATTGGTTCTATTAAAAAATTAATTTAATTTCTAGTTTTCTTATTGAGGAATTACCTAAGAAAAAAATCTAAAAGTTTCTATTATATTCAAAGTTTTAATCACTATTATATATTAAACTCTAAAAATAAAAATTTAACTAATTGCGGTCCCTGGTCTTTTGTTTTTTTATATAATTGTGAACTACGTTGCATCTTCGATTTGTGGAATTTTGCTGCAAACTGCCACGCCCCTTCTTTGTGCTCGTACTTACAGCGGCTTGGGCGGATCGCTGGCCAAGAGGGTGCCATCATTCCTGGCCCGATCGTTCGGCTCATCCGGCTCGCTGTCCGAATCGCTGCTATCCAACGGATCCAGCGGATTCACCGGCTGTCCCAGATGATTGTTCGACTGCTGCGGCAAAGCGGCGGCCGGCTTGGATGATAAGCCACCTCCGGATGCGGATCCTCCGGATGAGGATTGCCGATTGTTGCGCGGTGGCGCCTCCGGCTGCGCCTGCTGCTGTTGCTGAACTTGGGATCCCTGCCCACCGGCGGCTGTCTGCGGCTGTGGCTGTTGGGAGGAGACCACGCCCAATTCATTTAATTGTGCTGCTAACACATCCAAATGATCCTACAGTTTAACAATACATTTTTTGTTTGTTTTCGTTTCAGGGGCAGGAGGATTTCGATTTCGTTTCGATTTGATTTGTGTGTATGTGTGTGTGTGTGTGTATTTTGGTTGGTTGTGTATTTGCACATGATACCACAGTTTTTCGGGTTGTTTTCGGTATTCGAGGGGAAATGGGAACGAAAAGTAAGAGAGCATTAGATTGGTTTTTCCTACAAAACGTCTTCTTATAGATAAAAAAATACGTTCAAACACACACGTGTTTTTTTAAATCCAGCAGAGCATTACAAAGAAATTTGGTTAGAAAGCTCGGTTGTTGTTAGTCTTTAACTACATTAGTTTGGGGAAGAACAAATTTCCATTTCGGCTCTTTACTTTGATCGAAGTGGCATTAGAAACGCATCAATCAGGCAGGATTCACTATGCTCCAGGTATCAATCTACTTTGGGGGGAGTTAGTCAATTGGTAGAGTTACGGAATCTTAGGCTTTTCGGAAGTTTAGTTCACAAGTGGCACGTGCAAAAGGTGTTGAGAGTTACGGGGGCGGTTGTTGTGTGCCTCCATTATAGTAATTTTGACTAAGGTCCAAAAGGGGGGTTATACAAATAGAAAACAATCGATGGAGAGTGCGTTGCAGAACTAACAATCATTATACTACGCGAATTCTTGAGCTCTACATTAAAAAGTCGCAAAATGCATCATCTTAAAACGCGAATTCTTGAGCTTTAGCTTGTAAAGTCTCAAAATTCTGATCAATTAACGATTTAAATCATTTTAGATTTATTTATATACCAAAAATGGTATTTATTAAGAACGCTACATATGTTCTGAAACGCACTCGTTGTTGTCAATGTTTACAAACTTTATAGGAAAATCAAGCAGTAAACAAAACAGAAAAGATGCGACAGGCTTGAAAACTGAAAATCGTAGGACATACCTCAGGTCTCCTTGGTGGTAACTGTTGTTGTTGTTGTTGTAGTCATGATTGTTGTTGTTGTGTTTAATAATATCAAGTGTTTTTGGTTTTGTTGTAATCGTGTGCGGTTCGGAAATCATACGTTGGTTATTTTTAACGGCGCAACGGGATGATGTACACATGAGTCAAATCATAAATCGAGATTTACGCAGATAATATATACGGGTGGTTATCAATGCATATTGGTAGTATATATATATATATATATTTATAGATTATGTAGGCGCACATAACATGAAAATAAAAGAGATATAAAATTAGGATAAGATATGGTTATGGTATCGACTTTTACATGGTTTTACATAATATGGGTTAACTGAAAAATCAAACTACATCGAGGGCGGGGGGGAGTTTCAAAATACGGGGCATAGATATTGATAGAGCATGACCATCCTTGGCTAGATTCCCCCGATATTATGCGCTCAAACTTGAAGTCATTGCTCTGGAGAAGCGACCTCCCTGATCGGATTACCCGATTGCCGCCTTATCGGCCCTGCCCTTTTGTTGCTGTTAATCTTCGCCCGATACGCACCGATGGCTTGAAGTTATTCTGCGAGTTGCGCTGCTGCTGCTGCGGCGCCTGTCCCGCCGGCTCACTGCACTTGGGCGTCGGTGGCAATGGCCGATTGGCGTGCGGCGGATCCGGCACCACGATCAGGCGCTGTGGCGGCCGTGCCGGCGGACCCGGCTCCTCAACCTGCTGGCGCTATAATTAGAAATTAGAATTGGTTTAATAACATGATTTGCTTTGAATGCTTTGAAGACCCTAACATGTAACCAATAATCAAATACCTGAATAGATAGACAGATAAAACACTCCAAATATACGTTTTTGTTAAGAATAAAGCTTAAGAATTCTCGATTTTATATTTGTTCTTCTAGAATGTAATTTTATGGGGAATTTTTAATCTAGAACTCAAGAATTTAGTTTGAATGACTGAAATTATAATACCCTCTGCCAGGGTATAAAAACAAAACTCAATGCTTTTTAACAGCGATGAAGATTATTTAGCGCTGCAGAACCCGCAGCTCTTTGAGGCTTTACAACCTAGAGCTCAAGAATTCGCGTTTTATAATATTAGTAAACCCAACTTAATGATCCTTGCAAACTTTTAATTGAAAATATCAGTAAACTACGAACAAAACGCAATGCACTTTTTTATCGAGTAAGAAGAATTCGCTTTTTTTTTGAATAAGTAACCAAACCTAATGATCTTTACGACCCCCATCTTCTTACCGATGGTGGTTTGGGCTGGCGATTTGCCTGCGGCTGCTGGGCCTGCGCCTGCTGCTGGGCGGCCTGCTGGGCCTGCTGCGCTGCATGGGCCGCCGCTGCTGCCGCCGCCGCCGCCTGCTGTTGCTGCTGCTGGAGTTGCGCCTGCGCCTGGGCGGCGGCATGGGCGGCCGCGGCCTGGGCCTGCGCCTGGGCCATCAGGTGATGTTGCTGCTGCTGCTGCTGCTCGGCGGCCAGGCGACCCTCCTGGATCTGCTGGAAGTTGCGGCGCAACGTATCGCCACCCGGTGCCTGGACAATGGAGCTGTGCTCACCAGCCAGCTGCGGTTCGTCATCGTCGTTGTCGGAGCCCGAGTAGCGATAGTCCTCGCGCTCCTTCTCCTGCTTGCGCTTCTTGCAGCGATCGATGTGATCCTTCAGCTGGATGCGCACCTGGCGATCTGTGGGCTGGTCTTTGATGAAGGCGTGCTTCAGCAGGTTCTCGGTGTAAGGCCGCTGGTGATAGTCCTTAACTGTATGGGTTAAAAAAAATAGTATGGTTTCAGTAAGGGTATTATGACGAGTGAATGGGATAACCACACCCTAACCATTAACTTGATGACTCACCTAGCACCGTGTCAATAAAACCATGGAACTTCTTGGACCACTTCTTCGATTTAAGCCTGGGCGGCGAGTTGCGCGGAATCAGGAAGAGGGCTCGCATCGGATGCAGATCGCAGAGCGGTGGCTGTGACTCAGCCATCTCCAGGGCGGTGATGCCCAGCGACCACAGATCGGAGCGATTGTCGTACGTGGCGTCGGGATTCTCGTCGCAGGCAATGACCTCGGGGGCCATCCAGTATGGAGTACCTACCACAGACAGAGAAAGAGAGGGAGAGAGAGGGGAAAGCCAGTTTAGCAGGTAGGTTCAACAGGTGACTCATTCATTTAACTCACCGATGAATGTGTTGCGCCGGCCTATCGTGCGATCCAGCTGGGCGGACACACCAAAGTCCACCAGCTTCACCTCGGCGTTGTCTGTGAGCAGGACATTCTGCCCCTTGATGTCGCGATGGATGACTTTGTTCGAGTGCAGGTAGCTCAGGCCCCGCAGGATCTCGCGGCAGATGTAGGCAATCCATTCCTCCTTCAGGCTCTGACCCTTGGTGGACTTGACCAGGTCCGTCACCGATCCGGCACCGCAGTACTCCATCACCAGCCACAGTTGATCGTCCTTCCCGGGCGGTGACTTCTTGATGAAGGCTCCGTAGTAGGTGGCAATGTTGCGGTGATTCGAGTATTTCTTTAGCACATTGATCTCCAGCTTGATCTCCTCCTCCTCGTCCTCGGTGACGTCCATCACCTTTATGGCAGCCAATTGACCAGTCTTCGTGTGACGGCCCTGTAAAATGAAAAAAGAGAAGCTTTGGTAAGTAATTTTTTTTTCAGAAGAAAATTAACCAATGTTAATAAAATATATATAGTTTTTTTTAGTAAATATATTATATATGTACATATATATATTTTTTTAATAATGTTTTTGTTTGTGAATTGAATTAATCTTAAAGAATGAAGCAAGCGCAATGACAAATTGTGTTCCATTTTTTATATCGGTCACTTATGTCATAAATCCAATCCGGTTCCCAATTTTTGTGTTTTTGAGAGGCTAACATTAAGTAATCTGCATTAGTCCTTGCTAATATTTTGCTTCAGTAAACTAAGTTCTTAAAAACTTGGAAAACTTATATTATTTTGTTTAAAATTTTTATGTGTGGAAGTTTAATTAATTTTCAAGATTAAAGTAAGCCCAATGACAAATTGTGTTCTTTTTTTATCGGTCACTTTTGTCATAAAACCATTTTAGTTAGGATTTTTTTTTTGTATTATTCTCCGCTGCGCTATTCTTAGTTTAAAATAAACAATCTACATATACGATTGTGTATTTCACATAAAGCCATTTAATCTTAAAACAAATGTGTATAAAATGAATATGAACTGTTTTAGGGGTTATTTAATTTTGTTTAAAATATTTTAAATCATTTAAATTCAGCTAATTTTCTTTCTGTTTCGTCACATTTACTTAAAAAGGCAATACGGAAATCGTTTGTATGAATATGTAACATTATTTAAGTCTAGAAGCTCTTGAGTTTTAAGAAACTCAACCGATTCGGTCTTGAGCATTGGCAATGATCGAGGTCAGGCTTCCAGAACGCGGTTCATTACGGCATTGAGGCTGTTTAATGCACTTCAGCATTCAGCACCCTCCCTTACGCTGTTGACAACAACAAGACGATGGCGATGACGATGACGCTGGCGACGACCATGGAGGCGTTGGCTAGTGCAGCGCTATATATTCCATATATTTTATATGGTCTGTAGAGTCTGCCTTCTGACTTCGCCCCCTTCGAGGCGTCAACAAACTACGACGCATAAAAAGTGATTAAGTAAACAAAAGCAGCCGCAACAGCAACAGCATCATCGGCATCGACAACGACATCGACTCCAATGGAATCAAACAATAGAACGCAACGAGGAGTGGAGTGGCGGAGCAAGTGGAGGGCAGAGAACTCTGTCTGGAGAGGAGCATCAACCTCGAGTGGGGTAATGTGTCTGCTCAATCAGAGTGTCAAGTAGTTAAGGTAAACATGCCACAAATATCTATTCAAGAGCGCCACACGAAGGTGACTAATTCAAGGCCTGGAAGGGGATGACTAAAAAAAGATTGGAGCAGTGAGAAGAAATCCTTTTACTACAGGAATATATAGATGGTGTATGCTACACCTTTTGACATATTTATACTAGACATGTTCTTAAATAAGAATAGGGAACCATACTCTGGAATAAACACCCACATATGTTTACTATTTTATTTTATAAACACCTAATCGTTTTTAAGTTGAATAAACCCTTAATTAAAATTATTATTAATAAAGTTTTAAAAAATTTAAAGTAAGTTGAAGAATCTTATGGCAAAAAAAAACCGATCAGTGCTTTGAATTAAGGTTGAATACTTTATTTAACTATATTTTAATATTTAAAGGTCAAGTTAACAGAAATTCTTAACTCAAAATACATAACTGGTTAAGTTAAATATCTTCGCAAATGAGAGAATTATATTTAAAAACTCTAATCTCTAATTTTTCACAGTTCTTTTGCAATGTTAAATTCTTGACAAATGATTCAAGAGCTCCAAATGTTTCTCTAAAGTTTACAAGTCACGTTGAATCTTTTGGCGTTTAAAGCTGGTGTTCAGGCCAACCCCAACTAGTTTCAATTAGCCTGCCACTTTAATCAAACTCGCAAATTGTTTTTTATTCTCTACTACCCCCGTCTTCCGGCCAAGATTGAGTTGTCCTGACCAACCGGTTGCCGTTTTTTGAAAAACTGCTTCCAGCATCAGCTGCCATCGCATCGCATCGTATCGCATCGCATCTTGGCCATCCGTTCGTTGCGGCTGCTGTGTCGCCTAAGCCGCTTTTAAAGACATTTTACATTTAATACAGTTTTAATTGAGTGAGCAGGAGCATCAGGCTGCGGCCCCATCCATAAATCAAAATGCTTAACGAGAGATGATAACAATTTAAGTGACGATAGTCACAAGATGACGATGACGATGCGACTATGGTATGAAGTACTGTTGCCCGTCGGCTCTTCGATGTTCTCTTGAAGAGGGTGATTACGATTTGGTTTCTAGCTTGCAAGCCACAGGGGAAAACACTTTGCAAATTCTATCGTTTCGCTGATCCATTTCTATAATAGCTTTAGGTTGATGGCTGTATTTAGTCACCTTTTATAGACACTAGTTTGTTAAAGATTTAGCTGTAGAAAGACGTTAAAAAATATAAAAAATATTTTTTTTAGTATTATTTTCTTATAAAGCTCAAGAATTCGCTGAGTAATATTTGTAGTAGATGGTTGTATTTATCCACCCCTTATAGACACTATTTTAATTAAATATTTTTTAAATTTGTCTTCTTTTTTTAGGCTTAGTAATTCGCCAAATCTAACTAAAAAGTATGTCTGTAGAATTTATCATATGATATCATCTATGTGGTTTTTCTAGAATATTATCTAGTGTCATATGCATATATTCATTTTAAAACATAGTGAAACACTACATCAGACACAATTTTAAAAACATTTTCGTAACTTTAAAATACCATCGTAATACCAGTAAATTACCATATCATAAACATACTTATAACATACTCATATATATATTTTAATATATACATATCTAAGATTTATTTGATTTTAAATTGTAGGTTCACATTTGAAGAGTATCCAATAACTCATCCTGCTAGAAACCTGTCCAACTCTTTCCGCTTATTGATTAGTTAGACGAGGCGTTGCACCATGGTTAGATTCTATCAAAATGTTATTAAAAAATATATGCAACCCGAGGAGGGAGGAGCTGGAGAATGTCTTGGCCATCATCGCATCATCATAGTATTCTAACTGTGCTGCAGATTTTATGCAAATTAATGACATGCACTAATGGAGCCTGACTTGGGGAAAAAAACCAAATTGTGCATAGAGAAATCGATTAGGCAGGCTACTAAAAAAAAAAAATAATAGAAAAATGGGGAAATTTCCAACCAGGTGTTGTATATTCAGTAGGAAGTTGTCGCCTTTGATTTTTAAGTGAGTTCAAATTCCACCTTCAAGAAATCAAAGGCGAAAGATGATTGCCGCAATTAATACAAAGAAAAATATTTGTGAATCACTCAGTGCAGTCGCACTCTCCCTCAACATTTCTCCACCTCTCCGTCGGGGTTTCTTCTTAAAAGCCCAAAAGCAAATAGAGCTAAACAATCCGCAGAAACAAATAAACAAAGCAACTGACGACGACGACGACGACAAGCCTTTTGCCATATAAAGCTCACAACGAAAGAGAGAAAATAAAAAGAAAAATCGCTGAATTTGTAATATAATCAAAATGTGAAAATGTTTTAAAGGTAAAGTCAACAATGGAACGAAACTCAGTCGAATGGTGCAGCTGTCCGATTTGGGTTTGGATTTGCCTACCTATGCACAAGAGATGGTTTATGATTACCACACCGAGCACAAGTATCTGTCAGATACCGGGCACAGTCACAGTCACACTAACACATACGGATACAAATACAGATACGTTTACAGATACGGATTGGGATACCAGCGCAAATAAAATCAAGCGTGAAAAGAAACCCAAACAATAAAACAATCAACCCGATGATATGCCACAAATATACAGATACTTGGGCGCTAGGGTGGACCTGTTTGAGTCTTTAACTATGTACAATGAAATTGAAGTAAAGAACAGGAAACTTTTGTGTTCTAAGTTTAAATATGTTTTTAAAATTAATGATTAGTCACCATCGGATTGTGTTGCAAAACCGTATTCTGAACATTTTATTTTTAGGAAAACCTTAATTGGATATAATTTTGTTTCATTAATTTTGTATATATATTGCTTATAAATAAAATCTGTTTTTGCATAAAATCGCATATCTACTTATTAGTATAAAGCATAACCCTTGCACTTCATATAAAACTACATGTCCACCCTAAAGTGCATTAGTGACTATAAGAAAACAAAAATGCATAATCAGGCAAAATATATATATAATTCCCATAAGCATTGTATATACCAGATCGCAACAAGTATACGTAAGCAATGCATTTGCAATGTCTTGTTTTGGAAACTCCGTTCTACCCCCAGTTCGAAAACTATGCAAGTCGTGTGTAAATTGTCAACAAAAATCTCAGAGAAAAAATGCGAGAAAAATTCGCAACAGACGCAGACAGAAAAAATATGATTTAAGTCTGCAAGCTTGCTGATAACAGAAAAGAGAAAAATGAATTTTTATAAACGCAAGTCGGAAACTGACGTTGCATAAGAGGCAAAAAAATGCAGTCAAGTGCCTCACCCATACAAAAAATGGCCCAAAAAGATCAATTTTTGGACATGTTTTTCAAGTTGCCTCAACTTGGCACGCAAATCGCTTGAAACAAAGAGGAGAAAGGGATATATATTAATATACTATGCAGGGGAAAAGTGAGATAGAGTTAGCTAGAAAAAAGTTGTGTTCTGTTTGCGATAAGGCAAGAAATCACAATGATGTTGATGAACCGGGCAAACATGTGTTCAATACGATGTATAAAGGGAAAATAAACGAGGAAATGGAAATGTTTTAATAGATTAGCTGAGAAACAGGAATTAGGGAAAAAAGGAAATAAGAAAAAAAGAGTCGAATATCAAAACAGAAGTACTAAATAAATGTATAAATAGATAGGAGTAGTAACTAAATAATGTTTAATTGTAAATTTTTGATTTTTTATAAATGTAAATAGAGCACTAATAAAATTCAGGATTTATGTAAGGAAGTTATAGACAAAATCGTTACATAAAATGACGAT